CATCAAGTCCTAAGTACCTCTGAAAAAGTTGTTGTTTTGAGTTTTATTTGTCTTGGGGGCGACAGTAGCTCAGTTGGTAGAGCATTGGCCTTCAGGCCTGAAGGTCGTGGGTTCAATTCCCACCTCTGCACCTTCTCCACCGACTCTCACTGATGACTGCTGTCGTTGTGTCCTTGGGCAAGACACTTAACCCCACTTTGCCCAAAGCCCCCACTGAAAGATCAAGGCTATGCTCACACTCAGAGAGCAGCCGTCCTCCTGTGGACTCACCACCTGCAGAGGGTCAGTGAGGGGCTGGTGCTATGAGACTTGGGTGGCATCTCTGATTGCCACCCCCCTGACCCAGAAATGGATTAAAGGGTAGAAAATGGATGGATGGATGGATGGATTTGTCTTGCTTTTTTCTACATGAGATGTTGCTGCAATACAGTGCTCATGGTTTTGCACTGGTCCAGACCGGAGCAGAGAGGATTCGTGGTCCGAAAAAAGCGGATCAGGTGAAAATCCACTGGAGGAATGCTGAGTTTTTGAAAAATGGCATTCAGCCTTTTACTTTGGTCCCACCTCTGCACCTTCTCCATCGACTCCCACTGATGACTGCTGTCGTTGTGTCCTTGGGCAAGACACTCAACCCCACTTTGCCCAAAACTGAAAGATCAAGGCTATGCTCACACTCAGAGCAGCCGTCCTCCTGTGGACTCACCACCTGCAGAGGGTCAGTGAGGGGCTGGTGCTATGAGACTTGGGTGGCATCTCTGATTGCCACCCCCCTGACCCAGAAATGGATTAAAGGGTAGAAAATGGATGGATGGATGGATGGATGGACTTTGGACTCAAGCAGAAAAAAGGTCAGAACCAAGCTGCTACTCCATCTCTGCTGTTGTGACCTCTCCTACTCCACCCAGCTGTTGCTTATTATTACTATTGTTATCTTGTTAGAATAATCAATTCATTTGTTTTGTTTGTGTGGATGGATGTGTTTTTGCTGCTACTGAACACCTGAATTTCTCCTACGGAGATCAATAAAGTATCTAACTAACTAACTAGTCAAACTCACCTCCATCATGGACGACACCTCCCACCCACTGTACAGAACTGTATAGGAGCTGATGAGTTCCTTCAGTGGAAGACTGAGGCACCCTCAGTGCAAAAAGGAGCGCTACCACATCCCCACTGCTGTCAGACTGTACAATAAGTCACTTTACTCGTGTCAGCGAAGCCACCTCCTCATCAAAGCGGGAAAGATTAAGGATATGGTGGGGGTTTTCCACAGACGTCACTCTGCCGCTCCAGCCCCAAGGAACATCCAGGGAAGGGGCATTGAGAGAGTGGACTCCTACGGTGCATTCAGACCGCAAACGCTCAAACGCTGAAGCCCCGCTCACTAGACGCGCATTCTCTGGTTTTCAGACGCAGAGGACTTCACACCAGAACGTCCTGGTGTGAAGTACCGGAAGTAGCCGGCCGGTGTTCTGTCGAGTTGGTCTGCCCGTCGAGATGATCTGCCTCAGCTGTTAATGATGTAATGCAAACCTGCGCTGCGCGTCTCACGGCAGCTGAAGCAAACCAAGATGGCGGACATGAAGTCTGCAAATTGCTTTAAAAGTTAAAATACGAACGAAGAGTTAGAGTTTTGTGTAAAGTTTGTTTTAAGCAGTCCACTGCTCCTGTGAAACTACACTGCTAGTGTACCCAAATCTGATTTGAGCATGCACAGAAACCCGCCAGAATGAGGAAAAAACTCGATCTAATTAAATATTTCGTTTGAACACACTATTGTTAATCATATTGAATACAGTATGATACAGTGCCTTGCGAAACCGGCCCCTTGAACCTTTCAACATTTCGCCACATTTCAGGCTTCAAACATGAAGATATAAAATTTTTATTTTTTGTCATGAATCAACAACAAGTGGGACACAATCGTGAAGTGGAACGAAATTTATTGGATAATTTAAACTTTTTTAACAAATAACAAACTGAAAAGTGGGGCGTGCAATATTATTCGGGCCCTTTACTTTTCACTCCAGAAGTTCAGTGAGGATCTTTGAATGATCCAATGTTGTCCTAAATGACTGATGATGATAAATAGAATGTACCTGTGTTTAATCAAGTCTCCGTATAAATGCACCTGCTCTTTGATAGTCTCAGGGTTCTGTTTAAAGCACAGAGAGAACCATGAAGACAAAGGAACACACCAGGCAGGTCCGAGATACTGTTGTAGAGAATTTTAAAGCCGGATTTGGATACAAAAAGATTTCCCAAGCTTTAAACATCTCAAGGAGCACTGTGCAAGCAATTATATTGAAATGGAAGGAGTATCAGACCACTGTAAATCTACCAAGACCCGGCCGTCCCTCCAAACTTTCATCTCAAACAAGGAGAAGACTGATCAGAGATGCAGCCAAGAGGCCCATGATCACTCTGGATGAACTGCAGATAACTACAGCTGAGGTGGGAGAGTCTGTCCATAGGACAACAATCAGTCGTGCACTGCACAAATCTGGCCTTTATGGAAGAGTGGCAAGAAGAAAGCCATTTCTCAAAGATATCCATAAAAAGTCTTGTTTAAAGTTTGCCACAAGCCACCTGGGAGACACACCAAACATGTGGAAGAAGGTGCTCTTGTCAGATGAAACCAAAATCAAACTTTTTGGCCACAATGCAAAACGATATGTTTGGCGTAAAAGCAACAAAGCTCATCACCCTGAACACACCATCCCCACCGTCAAACATGGTGGTGGCAGCATCATGGTTTGACAGGGAAGATGGCTAAAATTGATGGGCCAAATGCAGGACCATTCTGGAAGAAAACCTGTTGGAGTCTGCAAAAGACCTGAGACTGGGACAGAGATTTATCTTCCAACAGGACAATGATCCAAAACATAAAGCCAAATCTACAATGGAATGGTTCACAAATAGACGTATCCAGGTGTTAGAATGGCCAAGTCAAAGTCAAGACCTGAATCCAATCGAGAATCTGTGGAAAGAGCTGAAGACTGCTGTTCACAAACGCTCTCCATCCAACCTCACTGAGCTCGAGGTGTTTTGCAAGGAAGAATGGGCAAGAATTCCAGTCTCTCGATGTGCAAAACTGATAGAGACATACCCCAAGCGACTTGCAGCTGTAATTGCAGCAAAAGGTGGCGCTACAAAGTATTAGCGCAAGGGGGCCGAATAATATTGCACGCCCCACTTTTCAGTTTTCTATTTGTTAAAAAAGTTTAAATTATCCAATACATTTTGTTCCACTTGTTGATTCTTGACAAAAAAATAATTTTTTATATCTTTATGTTTGAAGCCTGAAATGTAACGACATGTTGAAAGGTTCAAGGGGGCCGAATACTTTCGCAAGGCACTGTACATGCATTACATTTATTATTGCCATTATCAACCCGACAGACCAGTCACAGGACGCGTCATGGGCCTACGTCAGTAAAATGACGTATGCAGCATTCAACTCGGGGACTGCTATCACACAGCAGCTGTGTAGTTTCACAGGAGCAGTGGACTGCTTAACAAACTTTATGCCTCAAATTACATTAAAAGTGACATTTGTGTCTTAATTCGTTCGTATTTTAACTTTTCAAGCAATTCGTGGACAACATTTCCGCCATCTTGGTTTGCTTCGGCTGCCGTGAGACGCGCAAGCGCAGGTTTGCATTACATCATTAACAGCTGAGGCAGATCATCTCGACGGGCAGACCAACTCGACAGAACACCGGCTCTAATACTAACAGAGCTATGCTAGCGGCTTCTTGTGTACAGATCTTCTCGAATATGCAGCTTTGCAGGGTGTCTTTGCCCAGAGACCTTCCACGGGTTTTTATATAGCAGTAGTATGTGTTCACGGAGGTGCGCCATACGTTTTTTTGTATTATTCAACGGTATTTCCGCATCGGCGAACACACTCGAAGCAGTTGCATAAGGTCACGGGAGCATGACAATGCATATTTTCACAAGCACACAGTCCCCCATTGTCAACCCTGGTTTAGTCCTGGTTTAGTCCTGGTGTGGGTCCTGTTTTGGCTGTTTACAGTATGTTCAGTCTGCTCGCTCAGACCACCAATGTCCCCGTGACCACTTTGCAGCTCTCTGATTGGTCGCTGCACGAACGTCCTGAGGAAAAGTTGAGCAAAGTTTATCTCCTGTGGGCGTTCATTTTCCGCTCCTGCTCCTCCCCTTTGACTTTCCTGCCAAGTCCGTGCGGCTCTACTCAGCAGTCCGTAGGTGCGTGCCGAGAGGTCTGTGCGTTTTGACGCTGCAACGTCACCATAGACTTTGCATTGAAACCCGACGCAACGCATGATCCGGTCTGAATGCGCCATTACAAGTACCATCTTGTACGGTGTGGTCTGCTGGAGCAGCTGCATCACAGAGAGGGACAAGAAGCTGAACCGTATACAGTAACACGTTATTGAGAAGTGGGGATGGAAACTTCTAACCAAAGTTATAGGAGTTTCTGTTGTCATTAATATTTGAAAATAGAAAACCTGTTTTTTTATGGCATTTCTAAATTTCTAAAACCTTACAGAGCCCCAAGGAAGGAAGGAAGTATGTGGGAGTAAAGTGTAGATTTAAAGAAAACTGAAAGATTTTTAAGAAGAACAAAAGTTCAGGATGACAAGGGTCACTAAAATCCCCACAAAATTTGATCATTATGAAAGCTGTAGGTTCTCTGTCAGCTGAGGTCGAGCTGTTTTAGTTTAGTTCTAGGGGACTTTTTTTCGTAAATTTAGTCTGCAGTAACACGGGCGCCCCCTGTGCCCCTAGGTGGGACAGCTCTAAGCTAATAATACCCTATCCAGTTATTATAGATCCATGGTAGTCCCCCCTGTAGTAAAAAACAGTTGTTTTCAACCAGTACAAAGTTTATATTTTCAGCCGTGTAAACCATTTTTGGTTTGTAAACGTAAACATAATAACACACCTTTCATGTGATCTGGTCAATATTTGAATTATTTGCATGCTGGTTTCTTAGTCTACTCATCTCCCTACAGGTCACTATCGAAGTGGTGGATGACACTCAGCCGCAGACCGAGGTGGAGATGGACTTGGCCAAAGAAGGCCAAAGAAACGACTGGTCCCCGTCATCGTCAGAGTGGGCAAATAGCCACCGGAAGTTGTTCTGGCCTCTGTTCTGGGAGTATCCTGAGCACATAGACAACGGTCTGGATGGACCCGACAGTGCGGAGGACCAGGGCTTTGACCCAGAGGAGTCCATGCTCAGTGGAGTCGGAGGAGACTGGGGAAGCAACTGGAACAAGGAGTGGAGAGATAACTACGGTAAGTGAGCAGCTTTTTTTTTTAATTATTGGAACATTCGAATTTGCACAAACTTGTTTTTTCTGCCTGAGACTATACCCTGACTATGTTCTTTGCCTATTTGAATTAATGGGAGTCAATACCCAATGAAGCTTTTTTCTCTAAACAATCTCAGGCAAATCATTATTAGTAATAATTTTTCCAAAACATGAATTTGTAAATCAGTATGCAATACTTTAGTCAGGTTATGATTAACTTGATTGACAATCTGACGATACCCGAGTCTTTTCAACAGAGGATTTCGTTTGTGCTGAAAATTAGTGGGTGTGGCTTGTCTGGCTACGGTTAATCAGTTCATACAAATAATATAACACAAAGTTAACTTGATAACATCCCAATTGAAATGCAATAAGATTCATTGTCTCCAGATGGGGGGATTTGTCTTGGGGATCAGAAGCACTTTTTTCACAAACAAGATGAAAAAACAAGCAGTTCATTGGTTTATTACTTTCCATCAAAACTGCAAATGTTCAGGATTATTTATCATAAGACATAAACCACTGAACTATATGCAGGTGATATTAGAATATTGTTCAAATGTCCATTTACTTAAAATATATATATAGTTTACCATTCAAAAGACTGAAAACATGCTCCTCATCACTGTGCTTATGTCGGGTTCTGGACTTTTTTGATCCGCTACACATTGGGACATGTTTCGCCTCTGTCGTCCCCTCTGAATACGAGGACTGGGCTGGCCACACGCTCAACGTTCACATGCACTTTTCCACATAAACAAACGGACTAAAGTGAGACATGATTTATGAAGGCCCTTCCACTTCCAAGGACCGTTACCCAAACATGTCTGAATGCGCTAACAGACAAAAACATGCACCCAACTCGGACTGAAAACTACAGTGAAATCAGTTCAAATAACATGATTCAATTCAATATTGCCTTAAATCCAAACAGTAGGTATCTCAGAGGACTGAGACGGTTGAATTTGCCAACACAGATTAGAGAATCAAACAATTAAAATATAAAAAAAACACAGAGCCATTGGTCTATAAGGGGCAGATGACCAATGACAATAAATGTATATAAATGTCCATAAGTGTTGTTGAATGTTGAGTGTCCTTTTTCTTTTTGTTAGACCTCAAATAAACATGAGCAGCATTTTAGAATGTTTGCAACATTGGAATTGTCCACATGATTTCACCTGTATTTTTGAGGTGGAAACACTACTAAAGCCTTGCCTTTGTAAGGAGGGTCCTTACAAAGGCAAAGCTTTAGTAGTGTTGTGGACGTTGTGACATTGGACATTGTGTGTCCAATCAACTGTATTAGGAATGATTATGCTGGTATGGCTGTGCATCTTCAGAAATACAAATAAGCATCAATTATGTAGATGCTCATGTAAAATTGGTAATCTGTATATGCAAAAATGCAATAAAACTATTGTTAATAATAGTGAAGTGTGCTTAAAAACTAAAGATAAGGATTTAAAAAATAGGGCTGTCAAATGATTACATTTTTTAATCAAGTTAATTACAGCTTCAAAATTAATTAAGCGTAATAATCACATTTCAAACAATCGGCTCAAAATGCGGCAAAATTATGCCAAATTTTTCTGTAAATGGTTGTTTGAATGGAAAGTTTAATGGGATGTTTATTATAACAATAATAAATCCACTTAAAATGGCATTAATATTTTAAACATTCTGTCTTTCTGTTGTAGGCAGTATTTTTTTTTCTGTAGTAGACAGAATTTTTGCAACACATTCCGCTTCAGCTAAAGCCTCCTCTTTCTTCTTTATCTCTGTCTCATAAAGGCTGTGGGTCCTATTCATTATTGCGCTCTTGCTGGTGGCTTGTAAGATGGGTCGAGGGATGCTACTCTAAATTTTTTAGCGAGACCCTCATCTTCAACTATGCTAATCGGTCCAGGCCTGGACTGGGACTAAAACACTTTTTTCACTTTTTTTTTCAAGGTTATTTATATGGTTTGTGGAAACACATACTGTAGAGGATGTACAATGTGTATTTTCAACAATTGAAATAAAATGCAACAGTCTATGTTACAAGAGAGTAATAAACATGTCTCCGAGTGAAGGAAATGGACTCAGACCAAAACCAATGTTTTTTACAGGGATGAGAATGAGACGTTTCAAAAAAGTCTGAAATGTATAATGCTCACAACATTTTACTTTTGGGCATAACCAACATGAACTGGTAGTGCAAGGGAAAACTTAGGTACCTCTAATTAGGTATTCCAGAGCGGAATTTAATTGAATTGAATTCACTAGATCTTAACCAAGATGGCAGAGTGTATCTTTCTGTAAACTTGTCTTCAGATCTAATCCAAGACTAAATGGTTTTACGAGATTAGGATTAATGGAGGACCATATATGGACTATAACCTTTCTTAGATCCTTTTGAAGAAAGTAAAAGTGCTCCTTACCCTACAGCAGGGGTGATGTAAACACTGCTGAAAGGATGATTTAAGACTTTGGATTTCACCAGCGTTGTTCACAGCTGAAACCTACACAGCTCTAAAGGTTGTTTTCTTTGTATCAGGCTTCAACTCTTAGTCTACATTGGCTTAGCTCTGTGTATGAAGGAAAATATAGTGCAATAAAGATCAGATTAACAGCTCAACCACCATACAGTTAATCTGTAAAATAGCACATAGGATTATATTCCAGACGGTTTCCTGGCTGCAAATCATGGTTTCCTTGGGTCTCGGTGATGGCAGCTAAAAACATGTGCTCTTTTCTTTTGAAAAGAAAAAGGAAACACAAACGGCTTTTTAATTTCCCCACAAACAAGTCCAAATTGGGGTGGATTGTGTATTTGTATATAAGTAGGCAAGGGTTACGAGTCGGATATGTGGAGTTTGTCAGGGTATTTGTGGTAATTAAGGTGTATTTTTCGCATATTTTTTGTGAAGAAAGATGGGAACTAGTATTGTGCTAAATCATGATGTATCTGTCTTTTTAATGCAACTGTACTTTTCTATGTAATAATGATGATGATAATGATAATTATAATGCATTCGTTTTATATATAGTTTTTTTGACTGCTACTGTAGCCACAGCCGCCCTGGGACCAAGCCCTGGTGATCCAAGATGGTGCCCTATTCAAATGAATGGCTTGTGTTCAGTTCACGGAGACCGAAAGATTTACTGAACTTGCCTATATTTGTGCATCGTCTGGTCCTCCCGGTTCTGCGACGTGGACGAACCCCCATGATGCGTTGCGCCAATCATGCGTATGTGGTTCTCATGCTCGTGCACAGAGGGGACTCTGACCAATAAGAGCTGCTGATCAGAGCGGAGCCAGAGCGGGAAGGAAACGAGCAGAGTTTGTGGCAGTAAAGTGTGGATTTAAAGAAAATCTAAGGATTTAAGAATGAAAAAAAGTTCAGGATAACAAGGGACACTGAAATCCCCACAAAATCCGATCTTTATGAAAGCTGTAGGTTCTCTGTCAGCTGAGGTCGAGCCGTTTTGGTTTACATTGAGTTCTATGGGACTCTTTTCTGGGTAGCCCACGTGAATTTACTTTGCAGTACCACAGGCGCCCCCTGTGCCCATGGGTGGGACAGCTATAAGCTAGTAATACCTTGTCAAGTTATGATTGTAGATCCATGCCTAGAACCATCAATCCATCAATCTTTCAATTTGTCTATTCTTGCACCAGGCCACGTCGAAGTTGCTCCTATTGTCAGTGTTTCCATGTCATTTGAGTTTGAACCCCTGTGAACTCTGGCACATTTAAATAAATTAGTCAGGCTTTACAAGATTACAGGACTGGTCCAAGTTCGTTTAAACCCGGGCATGTGCTGCTTGTCATTAGCACCTCTGCAGATTTGTTTGGGATTTGGTTGTTTTTCCACTGCCTCCGCTCAACCCTGCGGCGGCCTTCACCTCACATGCAGCCAAGTCAAATTAACTAAAACGCCCTCATACCAAATATCTGACATTATTTCTCCAGTTATTTAGGGGCACAGATGAAGTCCGGAGTAAATATCATGATCGTAATATCATGTTCGCTTGACCTGCACGTTTGAGTAGTTCCTAAAATGTGAACAGAAAAAGACAAAACCAAAATTGAATGCTACTTTACTGAAACATACAGTTGAAAGTCAGAAGTTTGATTTCAGACAGTGAGGTAAAAACAGAAAGTGCGTATACTAGATTGACAGCTAAATGAAGCCCAATTTGAATGTGCTCATGGACGAAGTTTTGCTCCAACTCCTCCTGCTAATATGAGCCATAAGAAATTGACCAATCAGATGCCGGCAGGGAAACTCCAGCTTGCCTTAGAAACCACTCTAGAAACATGTCTGCCCTTGTTACGGCGTGAAGTTAACGCTGTTGGAACAATTATCCTAAACCAAGACTAAAAATTACCCCTAACTTGTGCTGGGACCTGAAAAGATAAGACTTTATTGATCTCACGCAGGAGAAATTTACAAGTGATTTAATGTGATCATACTTCCTGTTCAATGTGGAATGAAAATAGCCTGGCCTTAGCCATCCGTACACTCCGTTCAATCTTAATTTCACTGCATGTAACGTCTGGGTCTGGTCCCTGGGTTAGCGATTACAATATGTTGAATTTCGACCGACTATTCAGAGAGCGCGGAAGGCAGGTGTTGCAGTTAGTTGTGGGTGATGTCAAGAGTTTGTGTCGAACGGGAAGGTCGTAGTTTGGCTATGGCGAAAAATGCGATAGTAAAATAATCCAGTCTGGTTCTATCAAGAAATTGAAGCCGGAGCAAGAGGAATGTTTAGCAACTGTAATCGCTGGAAAAATTGTGGCACTACTCCCCACGGGCTCCGTTAGCGGCAAAGGAGATGGCTAAATGCTAATTGCTAAATGCTAACAACAACTTGGGCGCATTACATATGTCACGGTAAATTCAGATCCAATCGTTTCAATCTCCCACCTGTTCACAAAGCTCAATGGAGCACCTCCAGACCTTAGTACCAAATGTAATTTGTACTATGGTGTGGTACGACCAGGCTAGAATGATAATGGAATGGCATAAATCTTTTTCATGTCAAATTATTAAACTACAGAATTTATTAATACTCAAAAAATTATGGTCCTGGGAAATTGTTGTTGAGATCACCAGGTCCTTCGTTTTTTTTTTTAAATAAGAGGTTTTCTTTTTCAATCTACAATATATATGCAAAAAAATACTCTCAAGTTTAATTTCACTCAGCGTATGCATCCACGGTTTGCAGATGGAAGTTTGGAAGTCTCAAACCTGGTGAAAGTCTGGAAAATCAAGTTCTTAACCTGGACAAAGTAATAAGATATAATCCAAACACGGATTTTGACAGGTCTATATCTCAAAAGGTAAAAAATTACAATCCCAAAAATAAACTAGAATAAAACAGGGCCCCCTCCAGTAAACGCCTAAACCAAGAAAAATCCATGTCAAAACAGAAACTCGAAACACAAACAGGTCCAAACCAAACGTCATCAGGGGTTGAGAACCACTCCTTTTTTATTTTCCTATTGACAAACCAATGAGGAAGTATATTTATCCGGATAAGTTCAAGACCTCACAGGAAATTTGGAAAGCTTTGCAGAAATTTGCTGTGTTCACAAAAGGCTGTAAACCTGCAGCGTTTACAGCCAGGACCAGGTCAAAGAAGCGGAGACGCAGTCCTCTGGCTCTGAAACAGTCTATCCTGTCTGTTTTTGTTGGTGCATGTTCTTCCAAATCATTCATGTGGATTAATTTTGACAATGGGGAAATGTTGGATAGTTATTGTAGACTCGACTTCATCTTAACATACAGATTTATGGATAGTAAATTGAAAGGTTTTGACTTGTTTTGTCTTTTTTGGGTGAGTTTTCTCTTAATATAGACTGTATCTATCAGTGAGCTTGGATTTGAACAAAAAGATTGAAGAGTTTAAAATATGTTAGTTTGAAGATTGGATCGAATGGTAAACAGATGCGCTCATAGAAGCATTAGCATAAACTATATTAACAATTCTCAGCAATCTGCTGCACTGATTGGGATTAGAATGGATCTTATATGTTCATTTCATAGCACGATGAGGCTAATTAAAAATGACATGAGGCGACACGATAATTACAGTGAGTCCATGGATAACATTGGCCCTCCCACTCCCTTGAGACCAATGGCTCCTGTGTATTCAATATTATTGTATTTCCTGGAAATTGATTTCCAAAGACTGGAACATAAAAGGCCTTTAACCTAGAGACTTTGGCCTAAAATGTCTTAACCTGTGATGCAACATTGAAATTTCCCCATTGTGGGACAAATAAAGGACTTTTAATTTCACATATATTAAAAAGCCTGATATTTCTACAGTGTTAAACACTCTTAAAGAGCTGCAATGTTTCTCCCTCTTGTCCCTGATGCCAGCTGGCTCTGCATTTGTCCAATTATGACTTTCTACAACAACTATGCGATTTCCTTTATGAGAAGAGACTTTCCCCAAATCTGGAAGTTGATAGCTCTGATGAATAATGAACATGATAAAGCAATACAATCCATTACCAATGTTTTTTTTTTCCTTTGAGCAAGAAAAATGTCAGAAAGAGCCAAAAGTACTTACAGTCAGGCAATCAAGAGCAGGTTTGAAGTTCAGGATTTGTTATCGCTATAAATGCAGTTGTATTTGATCAATGAATCAAGTCCTGTAAACAGAGATTACGTGAAAACTAAAACATGAAAACTAAGGAGAATGAATGTAATGAGATAGTGTATGGAGAGTGATGGTTAGGCGCTTCGATTCACCACTGTGTTCCGCGTAATTTTGACCTTTGCTGAAAAAGCATTGGAAAGAGATGATAAAATCTTTGTAAACAGTGCACAAAGTCTCAGACGGCTCCTTCCCGGTGTTTTTCCGACATCCTCATATCGAAGTATGCGTGTAGTCCGTTGCATAAAGCCAGAGCTGTTGATTAAACCTTGGCTCCGCGCTGCAGGATTCGTCTGCCTGAGTTGAGTGAAATCTTGAGCCTCGTGTCCAGCCGTCATCACTCAAACAGTGGGAGCACTTTCCCCCTCCTCACCCACTCCCCTCTCACCCCCTCCTCACCCACTCCCCTCTCACCCATTCCTTCCCTGCTTATACACATGCTGTTTGAAGTCTCTACTCTCCTGCTGTTCCAAGCTTCCATATTTTGTCTCATACTGTACTTTTTTAAAGAGAACATAACATGCAACATTGAATCTTTACAGATTGACCACATTTATCTCTATCATGTACACACACACTTTTGCAGGCATTAGTTATTTTCACTTACTCAGAGCCTGGGGACATGAGCACTGCTTTTCACAATTATGTTGTTCTCAATTTGAAACATTTCCACTGATTACTAACTTTATATGTGAGTAGAGACACAAGGGATCCTTGATGTGACCATTTCGGCTGACGTTATTTTAAGGGGCAGAGCCCTAATGGAACTGGGGGTTTCTTTCATCGCATCATTTTAATTCATTTTTAATATTTATAATGCTTCTAATTATATAATGATGAGCCAGGGCTGTTAAATTGTTACTGCTTTTCCAAATTTTATTTGGAAAAGGAATTAGTCACACATTACAAATTCAATGTTTTAACTAGTTGAAATCTGAGCCAAGAGTAGATAAATCACTGCCCCTGCTGCTGATAAAGGCCTGGATCATGTGTTACACTATAGTTACTTAAAATGTAATATAATTACAGTAACTGTAGTAGTAAGTAGTAAGTAATCTTTATTTATAAATAAAGCGGTGACCAGAGTCACAAAGCGGTTTACAATTGTTATTTTTGGGCAATTTGCCAGTTCAGGGAGCGCATGCCAGACCTATTGTACATGTTTTTAGTGGTAGGGGAAACCGGAGTACCCGGAGGAAACCTACGCAGACACGGAGAGAACATGCAAACTCCACTCAGAAAGGCCCTGGTTCTACTGGGATTTGTACCCAGGACCTTCTTTCTGAGAGGCGAGAGTGCTATCCACTCAGCCACCGTGCCGCCCTGTACGTAAAGGGGCTGAGTTGTAAAATGAGACAAGAGAAACCAAAACTAACAGGCAAAAAGACTAGAAACATGCAGTCAAAGATAATCAATTAATGAGTCAAGGGGTTCCAAAGTCCAAAAGTAGATTCCAGCATGGTGGCTGAGTGGTGACAGTTTGTCCAAGTGGCATTGAGGATGGGTTAAATGCAGAGAATGAATTGCCCTATAGATCAATAAAGTATAACTTTGCCTTAACTTTAAAATATGAACTAAAGGTTGCATTTATTGACATTTTCTCTGATACTCAAATATTGAATTACTATATCTTATGTGTTGTTCTAAAGTAACTTAACAAGAATAATGTAAGTTGATACACTTTTTCCCCATTTTCTGAACTATATCCATTTGAACCATTTTCAGACTATAGGTGTTCTCTGTGGAAAAGACTGAGACTGCTTCTCCAAAATAAGACATTCCAAGCATATGCACACATGTTATAAATCAGAACGACTGATGCCACAGAGGTGTCCAAACAAGAGGTGCATTAAAAACAGGGGTCTCAGAGGTCCAGTGTTGCTTTCCACTGCTTCTTTATTGCATCATTCCTTCACCAGCTGGGCCAGGAATCCACAGCTCTTCACTTCAAAGCCGGCCACTATAATACATGTCTCCATTGTTGTTCTGGTCTCCCCTGTGTGCTGCTGCTGTTAGCGGAGTGCGAAGAGTGGACTGACTATAGCAGGCAAAATCAGGCCAGTGCAAACATTTTAGTGGCCCCTGAAATAATTCTCAATTATTATTATTAACTTGGATGATGAAGATTTTTTTTTTGTCACAGAGCAGTGACAATGTGACAACCCTAGCCTTAACCCTAAGACCAAAAAGGTGTCGGCTAAAGCTAATACTGGTTTTACCCTTAACACTTAAGTGTTAAGTGAATGATACACTAGGATTTACAGAGCCAACTGTATAAACATTAAGATTCTGAGTTCATGTAGCCATCCAAAATAATCATTTTAAACGTCTTTTTGAAGTGAAAAAGTGAATTGATGAACAACTTTTCATTACTTTATTATTTCAAAATGTTTGCTCTCAACTCATAATGAAAACCAAATTTTCTACCAAGTAGTAGAAGTAGTATTTGTGTAGTATTAATAGTATTAAGTAATACAAATCTCAAATCTCAAATGTATAAAAGCAGTAAGTCTGTGAACAATATAATTATGTCAATGCTGGGAAGGAAGGAAGGACATATTTCCAGCCCTAGTCTGAGCATAATGACCCTGAATGTGTCTGTCGTGTTCAGAGTTCGAGGAGGAGTGGAGTGGCTGGGCCCCCTGCAGTGTGAGCTGTGGTCAGGGCTCCCAGAAGAGGACCCGGTCGTGTGGTTACGCCTGTGTGGCCACCGAGTCCAGGAGCTGTGAGCTGAGCAGCTGCACAGGTCAGAAGATCATTTCATTTGTCATAACCCTTAAAAGACGATGATATCATCACAGATAGATCACTTGTAAAACGTGCGCATCTATTTACTCACAAACGATAAAATGTAACAACTTACTTTTTTTCCCTCCGTAAAGTACACATTCCAGGCATTACAAAAATAGCTTACGTATGCAGGTTAAGCTACGTGTGTATGAAAGTCAGTCTGAAAGTCAGTGTCCAATCGGATCTTCGAGCGGTGACCTGTGAGTTAGAAACAGCCAATTTTAAAGTTTTTTCTCACCCGGGGACTGCCAAAGATCATCAGAGAGAAGGATGACTCACTCCTCTGTGTGTACTTGTTGCAGCATAGACAGCAGCGCTCAGAGGAGCCAGAAGAGTGCGCATTATTGCTATAGACAATAATAAATACAGTAAAATTATATCATATATAATAATTTATTTATTTTTTGTCTTAGTTTCTTTTGTTTTATGTATTTTACAGCTGTGATACTGAAGAAACCCCAGCCTTATAGACAAACTGCTTCAGGAAGGGCATCAGGAGTACAGCGTTTTTGGCTTTTATAGGGAAATTTTGTAAAAATTATAATAGTCACAGGTTCAATTTTTTCCCCCATTATCCCCAAGACCCTAAATACCATTTCTATGCAGTGTAAAAAGTTGTTTATAGCATTTCATTGTGTTTTTTCAATACATTTTTGTGAAATTGATTGATCCGTTTCATTTTTTTCTTTGTCTTCATGATTCCATAATTTTTATATTATTGATATGACAGCTCTACAGTATGAATATTCTAAAACCCCAGGTTGTACTGAACAAAAACAAAGTATACTGCTTGACTCCGCATCAAAATATGACTGTTTTATGAGCAATTATATAAAAAAAAACGAAAAAAAACGGGCGAGGAAAGTTCCCCAAAATGATCCTAGACCTGTGCCAAAAGAAGACACATTAAATAAAACCACTGAACGGGAGGCAAAGTGTTGAGTTGGCTCACACTACATGTATGAATGAGATATTAAATTGTTCAAAGATGTCTGCAACTTCAATTTAATTTTTGAAAAGAATACATATTTTTTGATCATATGACCCTGAAGTATCATCTAAATAGAGTTTTTTTGATAAATAAACTTAAAAGCAGCCCCCTTCATCACAAGTAAGATTTTCTGGAAGAGATTAGCTAGACCAATGAGGAGGGGCCTCTGTCTATCAAATTGAATTCATTGCGTCCAGTCAGGAAGCTATGTATTCCTATTTATTTATGTATCCTATTGATGGTTTGGTATTTTTGTGTACATCGTAATGAAACAAAAAAATCATTTCTGTCTTGCAGTCACTGTGATGCCAGCCACCGACACAACTCCACTCCACACTACTAACAGCACCGAGTCCCTGGACACGAGTACGTATGAGTCAAACCATTATAAATAAATAATTGATTTTCCAATAACAAACATATTCAGTGCAGTCTGTACAGTATATAGCCATTGATCCAATCCATATACTTTCTTCCATTTCATAAATGGCATCTTCCATTTAGTATCTAGCATAAAATGGTTTGGATTCTGAAACTTGATACAACTTTCTAGTTTCGACGTTCATTCTCAGGCAATTCTTAATGGAATAAAATATATGTTCCCACTTCCCTTTATGTGGAAATGCCATTGTACAGCTGCCTGTTTTTTCTCATTGAAGACTTTTCCCTCCCAATATGGCGGCCAACAACTCGATAAAACTCCAGCTGAGTGGAGTTGGGAATTGCATTTTTATTTCTGCTTTATAATACCCTTGTCATCACCATCAGATCCAGATCCTTCATGAAGCAAAGAGAATAAAATACAATGTAATTTTTTTTTACTGTACAGTATAAGAACAATGACCAAAGACCTGTTCCCGGTGCAAAGTCCGCCCTTTGTCACCGGTCCTGGAGGAGGAGCTCGGAGTAGAGCTGCTGCTTCTCTATGGCGGGTAAAACAGTTGAGGTAGCTTGAGCATCTGTTTATCATAAGACTAGATAAACCTTTGTTCGTCCGTACATTATAGCAGAATAGAAGGAGAAATAAGAGCACTGAGATTATGTAAGTAATTCCAGGACATAAAATTATACTCAAGGGTACAATACGCAACATTCCCTTTTCTGTATTGTAAAACCTTTCTCCTCTCTGTCCCCACAGACGTGGACAGCTGCGAGAAGTGGTTGAGCTGCAAGAATGACTTCCTGCAGAAATACCTCCACCAGGTTCTCACTGAGTTACCCAGCTGCCCCTGTGCCTACCCCTCTGAGGCCGTGTACTCCGCGGTCAACATCCAGGACCACAAACTGCGCAAGACGTTCCGATGGCGCGATGCGAGTGCACCCAAAGAGCGGCTGGACATCTACAAGACCAGCGCGCGTTTTTGCATCCGCTCCATGCTTTCCTATGACAGCACCACACTTGCGGCCCAACACTGCTGCTATGATGCACAAATGAGGCTTATCACGAGGGGAAAAGGGGCTGGGTCTCCCAATTTGATAAGCACTGAGTTTTCGCCGGAGTTACATTACAAAGTGGACATCCTGCCATGGATTTTGTGCAAAGGAGACTGGAGCAGGTTTCAGTTGGTACGGCCGCCGAACAATGGGCTGGAGTGCACGCAAAACCCCAGTGAAGACGTGTTTCAGATTGAGCTACAAGAGGCAAAAGAGTATTGAGATGAATAATGAAAATGCACTTGGTTTCAAAGTGGAATGACAAGAATGTACACATCGGAGAGTGGTTGATTCATAGACGGTATATACAGTAGATGGACGATGTTAACCCACAAGCTCTATGAAGCCCTACTCGTATTGACTTAGATTGAAAAAAAAAATCGTATAACTTGGTAACCGTTTGTGTCACAATTAAAATTTTAGGCAGTCAAATTCTGTGGTTTAGGGCTCTCTATGTCTCATACTGTTTATATAATATTTATTTGTAAATCTAGAAATGAGCCATACAATTTGACCAACGCCTGTCCCAGATACACAAAGCTAACGCAGTCAGAACATATAAGGAAATTGGCTCCAACTAGCCTATGTTAAAATTGGCTACTTCCGCATTAAGGCTAACATTATGGTGACATCAGGACTCAGTCCACTCCGAATATACAGTCTATGGTTGGAATTCAAGTATGGAAGATCATTTTAATAGTTTTAACCAATTAACTTGGTGTACTGGACAAATGATTGCTCAAATGTTGCCGGCAAAATTGTTTTTTTTGTGTCCTATTCTGAATTACATTTGCTTAAAGCTGAGGTACCTAACTTTATTGTCATATATAATACATGTAGTTTATTCAACAGAAAGTCTTGTAAAAACGAACAAATCAGACCTTATTTAATTATAAAACAACCAAATGAGTCGTTATTTGACATTTTGAAGTGTGGGCTGATTGGCGGACTGAGTGCGGTCGTCTCTTTTTCACTTTTCTTTCTAAAAAAGCTAATCTAAAGATGTGACAGAGGCTAAACATACATGTGAAAACTAGTGATGGAGTTACTTGGATTTCATCACAGTTACATTTTTTGTGATTTGAAATTGAGGTACCTCAACCTAATTTTACAGCGTTCATTTGAATCACTAAAGCACCTTTTTTAAAACAATTGCTTTAGAAAATGGGCTCCAAGTGAGTGAATAATAGCAATATGTGTATGGCAAAAATGGCACAATTTTATAGTTTGAATGAATTTGTATGCTATTTTGGAACTGTTTTTTCCTTCTAACTTCAGAAATGTATGTACATGTCAAAATGCAGTGATTGAAAAGTAAATTTAAAAAAAAGTAAATCCAGACCTCATCCATTTACCCACAATTAAAATATGATAGAACAAAATATGCCTCAAACAATATTATTCAACATTCAATTCCTTAAGAAATCCTAAGATTTTTTAATTTTGTACTTTACTTTTAAATGTTTACTCATAGAAACTGGATAGTGTTGAAGCAAATGGACAATCTATGTTGAAATACCAGAATCCTGCTCTATGCAATCAAGACGAGACTTATTCAGGCGGACTGGTAAAATGTAACGTTTTATTTTTGTCTCGATGAGGTCAGTGGAAAGTTGACAATGTTTTTTTTTTCTATGGACTTGGAGCCAACGGACAATATTCTGTATGTGAAATGTTAAAGTTCCATTATTGTCCTGTTCTTTGTGTTGCTGCTATAGATATATAAGACAATTGTGTGTGTTTGAATGGGTACACTGCATAAAAGAAAATGGAAAATTAGTCAGAATTATCCAAAATAGCTGGAGCGTGATGAAGAGGGAGAAGGGAATGCAGGCAAAGAAATCTACTACTACGACTACTATTCATGAGCTGTGAGTAATGACCAAAAGGATGAAGATAATAAGATAATTATCATAAGCAGTCATAAGCACTCTGTGGAGAGTTTCCTCCACAGAGTTTCCTCCACAGAGTGACTGCCAGTCCCTTGGAGATAGGGTGAGGAGCTTGGAGTAGAGCCACTGCTTCTCCACAGCAAGGTGAGTTGGCTCCTGGACACAGTGTTCTGGGCATGCCTTACTGGTAGGAGGCGAGAGGGACTGCATGTCTCAGCTGGCCTACCAACCTCAGCTTGCTATCTGTAGCCCGTCCCTGGATAAAGCAGAAGAAAACAGATAGACGTTTTCTGAACATTTTTCAAATCTGGGCACAATCATCTTTATATGAATTGCAAAAATATAATGTTTTAAGTTTGTGAGTTAGATTTTCCAAAGTAACAATTATTTTCTTTGATAATATGGCTAAATTGCAGAATCTCAACTTGAGCTTCAGAATCCAGGACCCTTTCTATTCAGTGACTTGAAATCACACAAACATATTTTTTTTACTGCATATTTTACATTGTACAAGAAAGGTCCATTCCACTCAAGGAATTAATTATGAGTATTTTAACTTGTGCAGATATTAAAGTTGGCATCTATTCTAGCCTTCTTTACTTTTCAAAATCTCTTCTCTTCATTTTTTATTTACCCAACCAACTTTGTTTTTTTTCTTTTTGCAGTATGTGTGTGTGTGTGTGAATGAGGAAACATTATTTATTGGCCCCTTGTATTTTAATCAAAGCTACTGTCCAAATAAAAGACATTTCCTGATGCTCCGGCGAGAAGAGGGAATAAAGTCAAATGGAGAATCGGATCATAAATTGTTTTCCTGGTTCGTTTTCACCAAATCTCTTGACAGAATTATTACCAACGCTCTATTCCCACCACAGGAAACTTACAAGGACTCAAATGGGCCATGGGAAGCCTCCGGTAAAGCAGTCCCACCTGCGCAAAGGTCTGTGGCTTTTAATGTAACATTAAGTTGAAATATTGAGACTAAAACGTATGATACAGGAAATTGACTTTTGCATTTAATGTCTTAAAATGGTCAAAAACAGAAATGGTCGGTTTTTTTATGTTCAACAGTGTGCAGCGGTCTTCTTTCAAAGTGCATTTACAACGTAACTAGACCACGGCGCTCAACTGTAAGAATACCGATGGCTCTTAAAGGGGAAGTGAAACGCTAAATGGAATTGATGTCGGAAGGTTGTCTTTTTAGTAGGAGTGTGACGATATATCGATATTGTGATCCTTTCTCACGCAATTGATTATCAATATGCTTTTGCCAAGTATCAATTTATTTTTTTATAGTAAAAAAAAAAAATAGTATCGATACTTAATATGTGGCTACTTTACGCATTCCATTTATCATGAAATAAAGTGTATTTTTTCACTTCACATTTTTCTTTTATTTATGCCAATATGTGCTGTATTTGTGAGCGTTGTATCGTGCATCCTATCGTATCGTGAGGTACCCTGAGGTTCTCACCCCTACTTTTTAGTCACTCAATTATTTTATTTTTGTCTGGTACTGTATAGAAGAACCAAATCAAGCTAAATGGAATTCTCACAGCTTAATATGCTTTTAAAGAATGATTCATGCATTACTCTCTAGATTAAGCTGATTATGTGATGCGTGGTTTATTCAGCAGCATTGTGCAGGCATAAATCAACACAGTAGTTATCTCGGATGTCTTTAGAAAGTCATCCGCGATAAATTCTTTCTTTCTTTGACGACACTCGTTAACCAATCTGTGTAAGGCAGTCGGCTGACGTCACGTTATGGTGTAGCTTCGTTCCGGTTGGAGCCACTGTCGAGGTACGGAAAAAGTACCCTGATCCCAAGCCTAACCCTAGTGAAAATGCAAAATGACCGTGCTGTGCAGTTCCATGCTGTACAGTACCGTTGCTATGGAAAAGCGGCAGTATCATCCAGCCAATTTAGAAAAACCCTTGCAAAGGCATACTTCATTGTAAGCTCACAATATTCAAATCCAATGGTCTTTTTTCTGTTGGTAAATTTCAGACCTCTAGGTTTTGTAGTTTTAGTTTCATTTGGCGCAATTTGTGCCAATAGGTGTCTAACAATTTCTTACAAGTTCTTACAAGCTACCTTCCTGTAAGATTTCATAGCAGTTTTTCAAAGTAAATAAAGTTATAATTGTATAGAGTAATTACATGCTGCGTAAAAAATGCTTAATTTCTTCGTATGTTTTGCCTCTTTATGCACATGTCACTTTAAAAATGTCAGGGATCAAATACCAAGTCCCACCCCTTTAGACCTATCAATCATTTGGCAAACAATACACTTCTAGCAAGTTAGGTTACATCGAACACGATAGCTTTCTACTGCTAAATCAGCTATGAGGCGGCAGACTTGTTTACAAACAGGGCTGTTATACAAAAACTAAAGCACAGATTGCCTCAGCAAATGTTTTGTTGTTTAGCTAAGAAGAGGAACAAAAACCTGTTCAGTGTTTATGGCCAATTCCATTGTAGTTTTAGCAAAGTGGAAAAAAAGAAACGTGTAATGTCTTTGAAGAAATTTTTCAGCCACAGAAAACGATGGTTACTTATCTAACCACGGTTCTATGAATCCCGGGTGACCGCCAGAAGGCAGTGCAACACTGAATGTTCCCTTTGCAGATGCGCAGTTCGAGTATTAATACCAAATGAGTCACACCTGTGACGCTCTGGATGACGCCGTAGAGGTAATAAAGTCCAGCGTCATCCATCATTCTGTTTCTGCAGAATATTCTCGCGGAAACGCAAGGACCCTGAGTGACAGAGCGCCTCTGACCGTCATCCGGGATTCATAGAACCGTGGTCCAGAAATATGCACTTCCAGGGTCAGCCCCCTCCGACTGGGGAAAGTCCACCTGCAGATGGGACAAGGCCCTTCCTATGCATAACCGTCCTCGTCCCAAAAGCACGAAGCTGATGCTGCATGAGAAAGCACATCTTTTTCCGGATGAAGGGAAGGCATAGAGCAAGAACCAGCCTCAGAGGCAGGATTAGCAGCACAACGAGCCTGCAACAACTCTGCAGACAACTGCTCCACCCTAGACACCAGGACAGCATCCAGCTTCTCCTGTTTGGAAGGACCATGTGCATCCACAGACCGTCCCCTTAGGCATTGGCCCCAGCACGGCGTTTAGAACGCTGAGGAGGTGGAGATTCAGCAGGTCTCATGGGCAAACTACCGCAGTCACCGAGGGCAGCTGTACCAGCCTCGCCACTCGAACAGCCCAAGGCAAGCAGTTCATGCACGGGTTATCGAATACGGCCTCCCTCAAGTGAGTTGGGCCGAGGCATGCCGGGCACAGGGTCATGGCCATCATCGAC